GCCTGCGGAGAAAGAATCGACACCAGTCTCGGAGCAGGCTGACAAGACGGGAGGTGAATCCGACAAAGAGAACGATGCGGCCCCCAAGAAGTCACTGTTCGAGTCTAAGGCTTCAGCTGCTCCGGCAAACTTTGGATCTCTCTTCGCGCCCAAACCGGCCACTGAAACATCTAAGGCTGAAGAGTCTACAAAGCCTGCCACAAGCTTATTTGGAACCAAGTCTGATGACAAGTCCAGCACTCCCCCGCCCACTACCAATCTGTTTGGTGCCGTAAGCAAGCCTGCGGAATCAAGCGGACCCTCAATACAGTCATCTACATTGTTTGGTGCCAAGCCTGCTGGTGACAAGCCTGCTACTAATGAAGCCGCCAAGACCTCACTCTTCGGTGCTTCCAGTGCAGAGTCGACTACTGCTACGTCTGTGTTTGGTGCAAAGCCTACAAGCACCACCACCAATCTGTTCGGCAATGCCTCGGCGCCTACTGCTAAGCCTTTGTTTGGTGCCCCTAGCTCTGGCGATGCGACGGCGCCCAAGACTGATGCTGCTCTTACGGCGGACAAGCCTGCTGCGGCTCCCATTTTCAGCTTCGGGGCGCCTTCCGCTGGTGCCGATAAGATCAACGGTGCGAACAAGCCCCTCTTTGGAGCACCTCAGTCGCCTACGTCGTCTGGTGCAGCCGCGCTTGATGGTAGTCCCATGAAGCAGGATGGACCATCACCGGCCAAGAAGGCATTCAACGGTGGAATCACTGGAGCTTCGGCCGCACCCATCTTCAGCTTTGGTGGCGCCTCTACAACTCCTGCTGCTCCCTCATTTGGTGGTGGCTCAGGCACTTCCACACCTTTGTTTGGCGGTGCTTCAACGACTCCTGCTGCTAACAATGCAGGCTCGTCTTTTGGTGCAAACTCGACCAACTCTGGAGGATCGTTCGGTTTCCAGTTTGGAGGAAACTCTGCTTCTTCATCGTTCAATAATCCGTTCTCCTCAGGTAACGATGGAGGTAACGTAGCTTCTACCCCTTCATCAGCTCCTGGAGGCATGTTCAGCTTTGGAGCAACCGCCGCACCTTCTGGAGGTTCCAATCCATTCCAGTTTGGAGGTGCAAGCAACACCACATCGACCCCAGCCTTCGGAGCAGGCAGTAATAACAATGCTCCTGCTTTTGGAGGGGCATCTGGATCTACAGGAGCGCCAGGGTTCAGCTTCACAGGAGCCTCACCAGCGCAAACCTCGGCACCAACATTCGGATCCAACCAGAACGGCAACCTTCAACCGCCTGCTGGTGGTTCAACCACCGGGACCAGTAAGTCTCCTCTTTTTCCACATCGGAAAATCGCCCCACTAAAGCGACGGGTGTAGACACACCGTTCAGTCTTGGGGGAGGCTCTAGCCTGGCCACAACACCAGCTGGCGGGACCCCGGAACCATCGAACCAAGCCGAAGGAGCCGCCGGAGGCGATGAAGAAGGCGAGAAGCACGAGCAGGTCAACTTGGCAGAGAATCTGGAGCAGGACGAGGATATCATGCATGATGTACGAGCAAAGGTGTTGAAGTTTGTGCCGGCCAGCGAGAAGTCGGAAGACAAGAAGCCCAAGTCTCAGAGTCCGTGGTCGGTACAGGGTGTAGGAGCTCTTCGATTACTAAAGCACAAGGAGACAAATATTGTTCGTCTTCTTCTGCGAGCAGAGCCCCGTGGACATATTGCTATGAACCGAGCAGTCCTCGCCGACATGTCTTACAAGGCTGATAAGAAGTACGTCAAGATGACCACATCGAACGAGAAGGGTGACGGTCTTGAGACCTGGATGATTCAGGTCAAGACGGCGGACATGGCTAAGGAGCTTGCAGAAGCTTTGGAGAAGAACAAGGTCCATAATAAGAAGTAATGTGGAGGGAACTGGGGAATAGTATATAGAAGCACACTCTGACATGGCGTGCTTACATAGAAAGGTAAGGTGCAAGGAGCAGCATTGCGGGCGTTGTCAAGCATTCGAGGTTTTATATTTTCTTTTTGCAGGTAAAGGCTCACATTTGGGAAATTTGTGGGAATGCTCAAGCAGGCAAAGATTGACTTGATCAGTGTATGGAATACAAAAGTTACTTTTAACAAGTCATGTTGAGAGAGCTTCAGAAGAAGCTTGATGTTTCAGTAGTGATGGGATGTTTGAAGTCATTAGTTGTCATATTGTAGTTGTAATTGATACAAGTTGAGGCATGATGAACAAGAAGAAAGCATATGAAGAGTAGTAACTCAAAAAAGCTCATCAAGTATCTTGGATGTATATATATATATTTCAGTAATAGGCCAGTAACCTTTAAAAGTTGTCTTTTCAGTTCAAGGTCGAGTGAGGCTCAAAATTGTAAATGCCCCGGAGAGAGACCTCAGGCTCATGTGAAACGCGGGGGCGGGGATCAACAGACGACGGGAGCTGGGCAGGGCAGGTACGAGTGCGGCACGCGTCGCGTCGGTTTCCCCAAGACGATGCCTGAAAGAAAAAAAGATTTGGCTCTAAAACAACAACTTTTCAGCCTCTAAACAATATGCCCAGGTAAGTTCAATTTTGCCGATTGATATCAACCCGATTCAGATACTCACATACAATCAATTCTCAGGGAAATCATTACGATCCAGGCCGGGCAGTGCGGCAACAGCAGTTAGTTATATCCCATCTCCCCGCCATCATACCCAAACTACATGCCATTATCTGCTCCCTCGATTTGCCCACATCTACGCCCCCGTCTTCCGGCTTACTCTCGCGACCACACGTATACAGATATATTGAACGTTACTGATTCTATTCGTGCACAGTTGGGAGCCAGTTTTGGCAACAGCTCTGCCAGGAACACGGCATCAGCCAAGATGGAAACCTAGAAGACTTTGCGACTGAAGGCGGTGACCGAAAAGATGTCTTTTACTACCAGAGCGACGACACGAGATACATTCCCCGAGCCATCCTGATTGACCTGGAACCGAGGGTGCGTCTTTGACGATAATAACAAGGCGATCGAGTGCTAAGCAGCTTTTGCAGGTCATCAACGGTATCCAGACTGGACCTTACAGAAATATTTATAACCCCGAGAACTTTTACGTGGGCAAAGATGGTGTCGGTGCCGCCAACAATTGGGGTGATGGTTACCAGAGTGGTGAGGCAGTGTACGAGGACATCATGGAGATGATTGATCGAGAGGCTGATGGCAGTGACTCTCTTGAGGTGAGTATTCCCCAGCCGACCGGGAACCTGCTTACTGAGCCTTCATACTCCAGGGCTTCATGATGTTGCACTCAATTGCCGGTGGAACTGGATCAGGTCTTGGTTCATTCCTACTCGAGAGGCTTAACGATCGATTTCCCAAAAAGATCATCCAGACCTACTCAGTCTTCCCGGACACGACGAATGCAGGCGATGTCGTTGTTCATCCTTATAACAGTATCCTATCTATGCGAAGATTGACGCAAAATGCCGACTCAGTTGTCGTTTTGGATAATGGTGCTTTATCACACATTGCTGCTGATAGGTTGCATGTTCAGGAGCCATCCTTTCAACAAACAAACCAGCTGGTGAGTGCAGCAACCTCAATAATCTTGCCTGCTATGCATGTAGCGAGAGGACGAGTGCTAGGGAGTGTGTGTGATGAAACGAATGCACTGACAATTATCAGGTTGCTACTGTCATGTCTGCCAGTACAACAACACTTCGATACCCCGGTTACATGCACAATGATCTTGTCAGCATCCTAGCCTCCCTCATCCCAACTCCTCGGTGCCATTTCCTCATGACTGCCTACACGCCATTCACTGGTGACCAAGTCGAGCAGGCCAAGACAGTTCGCAAAACGACAGTGTTGGATGTGATGCGACGTCTACTCCAGCCCAAGAACCGCATGGTGTCTACTGTTCCCGGCAAGAAAAGTTGCTATATCTCTATTCTCAATGTCATTCAGGGTGAGGTTGATCCGACGGATGTTCACAAGAGTTTGCTTCGTATCCGAGAACGACGGCTGGCTACGTTCATCCCATGGGGACCTGCAAGCATTCAAGTTGCCTTGACAAAGAGAAGTCCATACATTCCCATGAGCCACCGTGTAAGCGGCCTTATGCTCGCCAATCACACAAGCATTGCGACGGTATGCAAGACCTCCTGTTTACTTACCTCATTGAACAGTCACTCACACAATTACAGCTCTTCAAGAGAATTTTAAGGCAGTACGATGGCATGCGTAAGCGCAATGCCTTTATGGAAGGATATAAGAAGACGGCACCGTTCTCGGAGAACCTCAACGAGTTCGATGAGGCACGCCAAGTTGTTGCAGACTTGATTGGCGAATACGAAGCTGCTGAAGACGCAGATTACCTCAATCCAGACGCAGGGGAGAAGCCCACATCTGCAGAGACGGATCGACGAGTAGCTTGAGGGGGGTTAAGGATAAGATATTCAGAATTGTGTCTGAGGTAGTGGGGTTTGAAACGTCACGATGGGTGGATGTTGGATTGTTGATATTGCTTACAAGCACTGCACTGCACTGCATTGCATTACACTGGGGGCGTTTTGGGTGCCAGCCTTGGTTTTGGTTCGGGTTTAGATACTTGGCTTGGTGAATCCATCAATTGGCTGGCTGAGTACCTTAGTTTAAAGTTGATATGTCGCGTGCTTCTTGGGTCCCGAGTCAGACTAACCAAGGCACTGACTTGGTACCTGACAGTAGTGACAGCATCGCCTTGGTTGTGATCCCTGTAGTCTCCTCAATGTGATACTGAACGGGTCGATCCGCGATCTGACTTAGCGTGGGTCGTCGAGTAATATCTCTGAGATATGCAGAATCTGTCAGAAACATCGTGGAACATGTAACGTGAAGGATGATGTTTTGATGTGGAGAAGAGGCCGGAGCATTTTGCGCGATGATGTTTTTGTGACGTCAGTGATTCACTGACGTCAGAATTGGTAAATGGCATCGTGATGAATTCACTGTTTGTGTTTGCTTGGAGGGAAGGAGCGTAATTATGGAGAAGGTGCTTTCTCGGTGAATGAATATTAAAGGGCGTCTGAGACGCTTCGTCAGTTCAACATCATCATCTCCAACTCTACAACTCTCAACCACATCACATCACATCATCACAAAGACTTCTTCATCACAACCACAACTACCAAACCAGTAAGTCAAAGTCATCCGAAATATTGAGTTGTATCAGTAATAAGTGCTAAAAATCACCCAGAAACACCATCAAAATGACTCAATCCAAGGACCAGAAGATCGCCGAGACTCAGGCCAACCTCCCTCTCCCCGATCAGCCCCCTAAGGCCTCCGACTGGCAGTCAGCTGACGCCCGTACCGTCAACGTCGGCGCTGGCAAGCAGGAGGGCCCCATTGGCACCGATTCTGCCGCTCAGTCTGGTCTCCGTGAGCCCGCTACCAAGGGCGAGGAGGTCGACCTGAGCAACGTTGGCCGCGAGGGTGTTGAGAAGCGTCAGCAATAAGCGTTCTCTATCTTTGTGCAATATGGAAGGAAATGAAATGGAAAGAAGAACGAGAGAGGAGGTTAATGATACCTACGAATAATCAATGAAATGAACCGCGAGCAATGAATGCTTCGCTGCTTGATGCATCAGTTTCTGTTTCCCTCTCCCGGTGTGTCTGAAGAATTGAGTGACTTATTCAAACATCCAAGGTGATACTCGGCTGATATGTGGCATTTGAGTGTTCTCTCTGACTGTCATGTTGATAGCTTATCCTGTTTCAACTACAGTATTGGTTGTTTCAATATGTGAAACGCAGCCGCACCATCTCGAACAATACTCAGTCTGTTGCAATACGACATATCATAAGCTTTTGAGTGCCAGTTGCGTTCACTAACACTCCAGCCTTTAAACCTTGTGATCCTTGAGGAGGTAATGTTATTTTGACACGTGTTCTGCATTATCGAGGTCGCAACATTGACTTTGGAGTTCGGAGCCACCACAGCATGTTTGCCCAAAACTTATGGAGTGTCGAGTATAGCTTCAAAAGTCTACAGGTTACCCTATGCCTAAACTGGCAGCTGGATCTTGCTCCTCGTTATGTTTTTGTGTATGCTAGCATGCTTCTGGAACAGTTCGATGGGAGTCGGGTACTGCATCGTGCTTACGAGTTGTCATATCTGCTTGTGGCTTTCATGCATGAGCAACGGAGTACTGAACTATGTTGCTTTAGTTTAGTCAGGAACGGCATCCTCTCAGATCTCGCGCTGATGCGTTATCAAGCAAGGAGCCAACTCCTGTACCAATCCACGTGAGACCAGTGAGATACAAGACGGAAAGCTAAACAATGTTGAAGAAAGTTCAGTAACTTCAAGTTACTAGTTACCCTAGACACCGATATTCAACCACCACGACAACCTCCCTAAGATGAAACCGAACATCAAAAAGGTAATACGTAATGCATCACAAGGACAAACAAACACATAGGCAAACGACGATCTATCACATTTGCATGCAATATCCGGCGGCTTTCTCTGAACCAACAACCAACCATCGGCCAACTCTGTCATGTCATATCATATCATATCATGAGAATGATCAACCAACAAACGACAACATGTATCACATCAAAGGATCTAGATCTCACATGTCGCACGGGACGAGAAAACAATGTTTATCCACTCAAATAACAAGGAATAACCAAGAAGAAAAAGGGTCACATTCCCATTATCATGACCGTCACCGTCGCCTTCTTGCATAATAAGCAAGATTTTCCAATCACATCGGAATCGAGCACGTCCAAATGAAGGTGGATCAAAGCGGCAAAGAGAAAAACAAACGAAAAGGCAAAAAGCAACCAGCGAGTCAACTCATGATATGATCTGATGCTGACATACATGAAGAGATTGTCATGACTAACATAGTAAAAGCACAACGCTCCTGAGAGAAAATGTTTCGTGCATCTATGTTGAAGCTAGAATCATTCAACTGAGCCAATCTGTGTACTATTAACTTAGTATTCAGCTAGAGAGTCAGCTCAGTTAAGAATATAAAATCCCAAGTGACATCCATATTCATAGGGCCGATGCCAATCCCCCAATCTGGCAGGAGACTGTCAAGTTCAATCTCATATGCAATAGTCGGCATTGCTTTGTCTCAAGTAAGTGCCAAGTCAGAGACACGGCGGCCATGGCTTGTAGCTGTATGCAGGTCAATTGGGCGGCTCGTAAGCCTCACCCTGCCCACGACGGGAGCTCTCCCCGATACTCACTGGCTCCCTATACTTGAAGGTTCTGTGCATTGACAGTGGACACCTACTGATGGATGGATGCTGTGCGCATCCATAGCGCTGCCCACATATGCGCTGCTCGGAAACCCACCACCGATTCAGTATAGTTGTGCCCCAGAGAAGCGGCTGGGGTTCGCCCTAATCTCAGCTTCAACCCAATAGGCCAAACAATATCCATTGATATACCAGACATAGGAACTCGCTCGATCCGAGTGCTGAATCAGAGGACCCTGGATCGGTCACGGAGCCGCTGTCTCGAAATTCCCACTTCATCTCTTCTTGGCTGATCTAGGGGCCTTCTAGCGCTGTGATTGACACCCTTTCTTGACAGCGCCATCAGCGGTGAGAGCGAGCGAGGGAGAGAAAGCCCTTGCCGATGAGCCAGCTGATTGATGCGTACGCCTACGGATACTGTAAGTGCGGGATCTGAGATACAGTAATTAGCGTCTCAGCTCAGGCTTAGGCGCTAACTAATCCAAGGTAATTGCGAGTCAACTCACTATTGAGCTGAAACTAGCCAACCACAACACCTATTCAGAATGATCGACACAATTACCCGAGGATAAGTAAATCCAGGGTCCTGGGGCTTGATCTTATCAACGCCATGGCCAGCTCACGAGTCGGATCGTCAATAGTCTCGAGCAACCTGCCATTCCCGTGTGTGCTAGATGAGCTCCATTAGAGCATCCATATCTTGTCCCTAACGAGCGGAACCTCATCTGGCCGAGATCGAGTTGAGGAAAACGGGCATTCTGGCCACGACGGCAACTTGTCCCAGTTGGTCAAGACGCAGACTTCAGTTTCACACCCTCAGGTGCGAGTTCCAGCATGACCATGACTAGAATGTCATCTATGTTAACCAGGGTTCACTTACCTTGACGATTATTCCATTTCCACTCATGTCACACGAGAGACCAACAGGCAATAGACCACACTTAACACTCAACACGACTAAGTTAGAGTCTAGCAAGTGCATGATCTCGGACCCTTGGGATGTGTTGTCCGATACAAGACCAAAGGGACCCTCAAAGGGCCCGCCCTGCAACACTTTGACCTTGCGCCAGAAGCTCCACGGGCGTTTATGCCGCCCACGGAAGTCAACGTGAAAGACGGCCCAGCCCTTGATCTGCGTTGCAATTCCGGGGTGCGGAGCCGAAGATGAAGATGTTAATGTCCGTCCTTGATAGTTTACCAAAATCATATCATGGTAAACTGAAAAGGGATGCGCAAAAAGCAAATATGATTTGAAAGGATATCCGCATGCTAGAGGGAATTCCCTGGGTGGAGAGGAAGAAGAAAAAGAAGAAGCAAACATCGACGGCCACCACATACAACTCCACGCACTAATGCAGCATTCGTGGAACGATTTGGCCACGCAACGTACGTGAAAAAAGAAAGGCAGCCGTTAGAGCATGCAGATATCACCCGACTGAAACGCAGCTAGAAAATAACCCCAAAGACATGGGTGAACCGTGATGAAGACTGCCGGGACACAAGGTTCGTTATGGCTATGGGAGATTTCCTCACCAAAAGCTTCCTTCTGTCATGATCATGGGAAGCAAGGTACCAAACACCAAGGACGCTACGCCGGCAGTTCTCCCATTTGTCTGACGCCTCGAGCTCAACTAAATCACTGTTTGGCGTTCTTCTCGAAGGTTTTCTTGGAACTGCCTATCATGCGTGGCGTTCACTTTGATGCTCAACTTGACTCATGACGACGGTCAGTGTGTTGTCTCGCGAACTGGCACGACTTGTGTGTATAGTCAAGGCCTGTGCTTGATCAGTGATCACTTAGCACCCTTCTTTATGGATATGATTGTGTTGGTGACAGTATAGTCCCAAGTCCATTTTCAGACTGGTACCAGAATTGGGGGAGGGGGTAATATTTTCAACAAAAACGTTCTCTTCCATGAAGTGATGGACACGTCTACACTGTTTCCAAGTCTTTCCTTAACCTCGAAAGACCAAAGCAACAAAGTGAATCAACATGCTGAGGTTGAGTCAAGGAGAATCAAGGGGCGTGTCTTAGGCAGTGGGGTACCAGTCAGCTCCAAGGGTGGCACCCCCGCCATGATATTGGGGAGATGAGATACGATAACGATACGATGCGATTGCGATGAGATGAGCCGAGATGCGATGACATTCTTAGGAGTCAAAAAGCCCGGTCAAGTCTGCGGCATCAGGAACTTTCTGGATAGAAACTTAGGGGAGGGGGCTCGGTTCGGTTCCCTCCCCCTCTCATCAATCACTCTTTTCCATGTATGTATTGTATTCCCTTGTCCATATTGTACTCACTCTTGTTAACGCCAATCATCCGGAACTGATGTTGTCTGCTAGTCGTTCGCAGCTTGGTGACTTGTCAATTTTATCCCATGTCATCACTCCTCCGAAGGAAAGTTTCCTAGAGCCGATGCACAAGCTTTTCAGCATATCGTATGATCGATCACGCCAGCCTGGTCAACATGACTGGTCCTAAGTTTCCCTTGCGAGAGCCCGTAGAAGAAGCAAACAAGCCTCAGCCGGCTGAAAATAAGTGATTGGCCAAGTCTGGCTTCTTAGCCAGGGTTGGTAAGGCTGAGACGACGGATCGGTGCCGATACCAGAGGAAGAGAACCAAACTTCTCATGCCGCGGTACGGCTATCAACTAGGTCCGCCAGCTAACATGATGCCTTATTAGCTCGAGAGCATTCCTTTGGACTGACAAGATAAACAGTTCAAGAAGTTGAGAGTTCTGGTGCTGAATACTGTCCGAAGCCATTGACGCCAATACTCCACAATTCAAGAACCAGCAATAAGCCTCCATAAACACTCTCCATAGAATGAATACCTTTGGTGGCGCACGCTTAGAGCTCGGTTAGAAGCTGCTTCCCAGCGCCGTTGACTCGTAAAACCCAAAGCCCTAGGCCGGAACGCGGCGATTGCTTGGTAGATTATTCCTCATGGCCAATCTCTACACGGATGCAAATAACGTTCTGACCGCTAGCCTTGTCGTGAGCGATTACGATCCAACGAGGCTGACGAACCGTCAAAGCGGTCCGGAACTAGGATGAGTTGGGCAGTCCGTGCAAGTGCCCGATAATGGCTTTCCGCAAAATCAGGCCACTCTTCAATGCCAAGATTAGTCAATAGCACCACACATACAGTGGGATGCAATAAGTTTGAATACCTTTCGAAGTACTGATACCCCCTGTCTAGCCTATTTGGAGCTTAGCTTGCTTCTAATCTGAGGAAGAAGCTCGATCTAGCCAATCACGATGTTCTTATTTGCTGTGTAAAAGCTGATATGTACGTGGTAGCTGGCTAAAAGAGGCTAGCGGCAAAAAAAAAGATACACGCCCGGTATTCAAACTTATTGCATCCCACTGTATTGTGGAAACGTTGCTCAGCGTGGTGTGGCTTGAAGTCCGCATCTCACACCCTTCAGGCAATGATAGTACAGATACTGTACACTTGCATAAGCATTATTCGCTCTTCCCTTGAATGAGGGAGGGGTCCAGAACTGCCAGTCAAGTCAACGGTAGTCATGGAGGTGATTTGTCTGACTGATTTTGGCCAAGACTACATTGGCATTCATCTAAGGTTGATATCGAGTAATGGTAGCCAATAACTTGATAAGACCACAAGGACACTAGTTAGTGCAGAGCTGTACTCATCTGCATCATAACTCTCGGCGCTTGTCTTGCACAGGCGGTAAAGCGCAAACGATACAGACTTGTAGAACTGGTAGGTGATGCTATACCGGTAGTATTCGCTGGTTCCCTTTTTACCAGGACAGGAAGCTCGGTAGGTCCCAAGGGTCTTGCTGCATGTTTGGCATGCTGAGCTAATGGAGTTCTGGGATCGGCGTATCCATGCGTGGACCCAAGATCCCAGATTTTTCAGAAGTCTCTTGTGTCTCCCTGCAGCCCTGACGCAGTCCCTGTCCCGCTACGCATATATCGAACTTATGGAGCTGATGCATCAAGTCTGGAAGTGTCTTATTGTCGATGATTTCACAAGCTGGTGCCCCGGAGGCTCCAGAATACCACTGACGGTCCTCGGTTTTACCCTCACGAAAAAGGGGTGTACGGAAGCACTGAAAGCGGTGTGGTGTGCTCGCGGGACGGGCAGGATCTCACTAGCGCACGGCGCCCTGGGATCAGACGATCGTACTGTCGAATCCGCCCCACAGCAAGCCAGATCCCAGGGTTCCCGCCATTCCGACCTGGTATTGATGGTCAATAGACCCCTGTCCTTGTTTCTCCTGAGCTGCTCAATGGGAATCCATACTCCTGGGATGACTGCACGATATGTCGTGTCAGATGCTTCGCCGCTGGTCATCAGCCTAAACATATTGTGCGTTCTTCGTGATCGTGGTATCTCATATGGTGGTGGCATGCACAAATCCCTCTCAAGAGTGGCAAACAGCTCACAAACCCGTTTAGGATATCTGACTGCTCAGTATGATGACCAACTAGTGACCTTGACCGAGCGGGAATCTGGCGTTTGGAGGAGCCACAGGGAACTTCCAAACCCTCACCGATCGCTTCGGGCGCAACCCACCCCTGTCAACTCACAAAACACAGTAGGACTTGGCGTAGCATTGGAATCCGTCACCAGCACTGTGATGGATATCCTCATCTGCATCTCCGTGAGCGCCTCGGTAATGTTTCGAGGCCAAGGACTCAAGGCGTAGACCCAGGAATCAGGAATCGATCTGGGGGCCTCTTTGTGGAAGCACGGCCATGTCATTTTACCGTGATCCGATCGGCTGGCGTTGGCTGAATGCGCCTTGGGGATGGTGTTACTCCCCCAAAATCTCGCTCTGCTTGTGAGGACTAAACACCCAATCAACGATTACTGTCAGTCCGCCCAAGGGCTGCAAAGGTATTCGCGGTAGTCGCCATTGCGAGATGCTTGGTTTCGAGAATATAGCACCATGCTTCGTTGTCGGCAGTTGACAAGGCGTCGCATGTGAGGCTACCGTTTCCCGGCATCTTGGAGCTAGTTTTACATAGTACATACTGTAGTTGAACGGTGGAGGCCTCATGCTTGAGTTTGTGCCAAAACGCTTATTCAGAAGAGGGTGTGATTACGAGTTGAGTTTGACACGGCATCTCAGATTGAGCCTGGGGTTTGCAACGCATCATGCACGATGTGAAAGTACTGCCGAATGACTCGCCATATCACATTGCTGATGCTGCGCTTATCAGCATCTCAAGAAAGACTGTAAGAGAATGACAAGCATGTCCACAAATCGGCTCTCGAGAAGGGACTGGCGACGAGCTGAGCCTTGTCAATCAACGTTATTCGTTGCTTTTTTGAGTGCTGTGCATCATCGAGACCGTTGGAATCGAGAAGCTGCAGGGCACACTTAGGCACGTCGGGACGGGCGTGGTTGGCCAGAGAATATTGAGTGGTAGGGACGTGCCGTTAACCAACCACTGATTCCATCAGATCTCTTTGCGTTAATTATGTACGGCTGGTTGAGACCTTGCCAACGCCCGTCACATTCGTGCGGTTGGGGTCAATTGGTTTAAGTTGACTGCGCGAGATGTACCTCAGAATACCTGTTTGTGGTTAAACTCTCGGCGAATATTATACGATATCTGTGCCACGAGAGCACCCCAGGTTTAAGCTAGTCTTAAACCTGTCAGAGCGACTATGACATCCGACGGAAAGGCAAGGAGGGCTCACTGTCGACTGTGCCTGAGTGTGCTGTATTGCAATGAACACTAAATAGCATGAATCCTTAATGCATAAGATTTCTTAGGAAAAGATGTCCTGTTGCATTGTCGGCTTTGTTAGGGGAGCTGGGAGAGTAGGTATGTCGAGAGGAACGACTTTTACGAACCATCGCTGGACCCATGTACTGAGTCGATTTGCGAAGATCGAAAGGAGGCCAGTTCACAGCTAGGCCCCCCTGGGCAGAGAGCTGGAAGCCGGGGATTGAAACTTCCAGGCTCCTATGTAGAAAGCGGCGGCGGCGCTTGCATGAGATCCATCGGGGATGATTTACCAAAGTGACATTTTAGGTATCCATGCCGGCAACCACTCTGTCACTTCCGATGGCTCGCGCTGATCAACGTCGGTTGGGCTGGCGCAGGTTTGAGGCCAGCCGAAGTCGGATTGAACATCAACATTCAACAGTGGGCAGTGAGATGAGCGTAGCTAGCTGCCTTTGCCTCTAGTTCAAAGTCATATTTGAGTGCATTTGGCTATTCATATCAGAATTGCCCGATAAAATGTCTTTTTTCATTGCTGATGACGATTTGTATAAAGAGGCGTTTGCCCTTTGACTGTCTCACGTGGAGGCGAGGGACTAAATAAGAATATAGAACGTTGATTCTTGAACGAGATTCGACAAGTGGATTGTCATTGATGAGAACGAGAAGGGCGGGAAGGTTCAATCGAGGGCCAGTTACTGGCCAGTATTGTTACACTCACGCGTTCGTCTTGTCTCGTTGAACTGACAAACGCGACATAGAATTTCTTGCTTTGGGTCAGATGAAGTTAGCTTAACCAGTTGTCATAATGATTTGGCATGGCACTAACTGGTGAAGGACAAGGAAGCCCCAGCGGGAGATTGCCCCGTTTTTTCCGTAAATTCAACGGTGCCTGGCTGGGAAGGATCCACCAAAACACAATTACCAACAGTAAGAACCTGCTAACTGTAGAAACCCACGCACGGCAAGAATGACCCAAGTTGGACTTCGTTGTAGCATCGTCAGGTGAAGCATGAAGAAGTCGAAATTTCCATAATCAAAGTCTTTCGGATGAGGCCAACATTGTGACCAGAGTAGATTTCATAACAAACTTTGACCAACTGCCGACAAAGTTTGGTTCCTGGGTCTCTCGTATCTATGGCCTATGCAAACTTCAAAAACTCGGGAAAAGCAACGGTCAACCCTGAAAGGGATGCCTGTCAAACTGATGTGAATCAGGTATTGCATCAATACCAGGAGCTGATGCGTAGATCTATATTTCCACAGACAAGGGAACCCGAAGGAAGGAGAGGAATGTTATGGATGTGGATGATCTCCATCGCGTGTGCTCTTATTACGGCCAACAAGGCAAGTTGCCCGAGCTTCCAGTATCATAGTCTCTCCACAATCTGCTTCTTGAGCGCGAAATCTTGTACCAGTAGTCGAAGTTCTTTCTGAGATCATGAACTTTTGCATTGTTAACAAGCTTGGCATCTCCAAGCTGTCTCATTCGGCCCCGGACCCACACTGACACGGCGACGGCCATCGTCAAAGAACGCTTTGTCTCCAGTTCGTATAAAGCCTTCTCTATAGTGCAAGCGTTTCGCCTGCTCGGATAGAATGTTGCCAGTTGGTGGGGATTCGAGATGCAGTTCGCCCGTCGCCCTGCATTTGCAGTCCACCACGTGTGTTCCCAGTGGAGAGCCTATCCGCATTCAGTAACAGTAGCCTTTGGATGAATGAACCTTTGACCTGTTTGTAAGTTTGTAAGTTTGTTAGCCTCAAGTCAAGCACGTTTCTGAGGCCCCCGTCTACTGTTAAACTCCAGATCCACCTGCAAGGTGGTCATTGGATACCAGTCATCAGATAAGCCACCCGGAAAGCAACAAAAAAAAAACCCGAAGATGAGACTTCACAAGGCGAAGAGGGCGGTTCCCCAGTACAGTACAGTAAAGTCCAGTACCTAGGATACCCGAACAGGAAACGGGCAGTGAGCGATGCAACATCGTGGGAAACTTGCTCACTACCGGGCGGTCATACTCCAGTTAAACCATTCGATCTGGCGACTCTGTTTTCTTTTGGTGGTGCCAGCGCTGCGGGCAAAGCTGGAAAGGCGGGACAAAGTACCCGTACTGGTTGACACAACGTCACGGTTGAAGGATGAAGGATGCAGGATAACATCGGCCGATACGATACCTCGGGGTATGGCGGATCGAGGTACCTGGATCTTGCAGTGTGTCCCGTCTCAGGAAATCGACAATTTAATATTAGAGCGAGTTGAGACGGGCGCATCTGATCTAGTGTAGTGTGCGGAAACACACCCGCAATCCATAGATACCTACCTACCTACCTAAGTACCGAAGGTGTGAATCAAGATGGCATCACATAAAACGCCCCCCGCTACTCCCGCTGACCGGGACTATTGCCTGGGGGGACGTACTGTACACTTCAAGCCTCGAAAAGGTTGTTCTCGTCGTTACTGTACTTTTGAAGGGAATGAAACCCAAGGTTAGGTGGTGAATGCTTAGGGGTCACAAATATGTAAGAATCCATAAGTGTCTGATGAGCTGGCTGTGTAACAGCAAAGTTCAACTCTATCAGCCGCGCACCCCCATCCTCAAGAACCTCACCTATTGCCTAGTTATTATATGCAATGGCTGCAATAACAATGGCGGTTTCGTACAACTGCATGGTCGTGTGCAGGCAGCGAGCCAGTGGGCGTTATCGGGGAGGCTGGATGGCTACATTAGTGCTCAAGGATTAAGCTTGCCTTGGTCAACTACCGCGTAATAATTAGTCCCACAGAGCGATCGACATCAGACCACCTCGCAAGCCTTCGCTGCAGTAGATGATGTTCTAGGCTTCTAGTATCCCTAGCCTGCCACGGTGTGAGATCTAGCGGTACTGGCCCACAAAGCCCAATCCGATTTTCAATATCCAGCGTGTGGTGGCTTGTCCAAGGAAGGCTTAGTACCAACTCAAAGACACGCATTCGAGGCTGATGGTGGGCGAAGACTTGCTGCCAGTGGCTCGAAATGGTCTCTACCTCCAACCGTGCACGACGCCGCATCGTGGGGATCTCATGATCGCTTCCACATGAATGCTAGGCCTCCTAGGAGTTAGATATCCCTTCAGCACAGGGGGATAGCCGCAATGTTCCAGATCTAACCCCTGACGACATTGACTGCCACTCTGCATCACAGTCACACAGTCACGGTCACAGCACAGCATCTTCAGGCAGGCCAGGCCTAGCAAGCCTTTAGCCAATAACAATCAACTAACGGTTACTTGACCATTGGCTGACCACCTAGAATCGACCATCTCGGCACATTGAATCGACGATTTGTCTCTAGCGTTAGATCCCGGCCGTTGGAACTTTCTCTTCTGGCCTAACGCCACGAGCTCGAAGCGAAGGAGGGCTATGTAACTGCGTTGGGTTGGTGTGTTTTGCAGGTTCAATATTGCAAGTCTTTGGTGATAATAAACTTGCCGGAGATATCTGCCCGCAATGTTTTACCCGATATACATAAGTTTGAGATCCATCTGACCCACCATGATACGTAACAGGCGGGGGTATCCGCATTGCTGGAACAAAAAGGAAAATGTACTTGTGTTTTTGCCGATTTCCAAATGTGGGAGTCGGGCTCCTTTCTTTTTCTGAGCCGGGCGAATGCATGCATGGGTCTGAGCACCCTGCTCTGGTTCATGTCTGCTATTCCCGAACTTGATACCCCTGACTCGACACGCAGGTAGGGGCCATCAATTCGTTGCATGTTTCTTGCTCTAAAGAATTTGCTCCGTACCTTATGCCGAGGCAATCTGTGAAAGTCAGTTTGTGCATACTTGTGCCTTTTAAGTGCATGTTGGAAGGTCGAGTATCACATGAAGGGAAATCTCGGCTGTCTGAGATGTCGCTCAAGATCTCGGGACAGAACCAACAGTGATTTGGTCGTTCAACGAAAACAGGAACCCTTGGGCTACGGGCCGAAGAGGGAGACGACCGTTAATGACAGCTCTGTATACAGTAGAGAGGACAGCATGACGGAAACACAAGCCCGTGTCCCGTCGCCTCACTGGGCGGCACCCTACATCGAGAGTGTCTGAGCCTCCATGTGCACATTAATGCCCTTGTGATGATGATGGGCAAGGTATCGGCCGTTTTGGACAAGTGCAACATCATAATCAAGCCGAGTAATTCTCGTATTGGCCTGAGGTTAGATCAAACCCGTGCGGCTGGCATACAAGACACAACGAGTATCCGGATCCGATGTTCACCAAGGAGTCATCATGCTGGTCTTCTATCAAACATAGGGACAAATTGCTATCCCATTCGCTGTATTTAGGGCCTTTATACATTGAAGACAGGTGATACAGACACAGTAGGCGATCAAATAGGCCCACGAACAGGCAATGCTTGCACGTTGGCGGCTATAAAAGACACCACTGGATTGTAGGTGGAGCGAGGTCCTGGTGTCGCGGAAAATACATCATGACACGGGGAACAGGCCGGATCGGATTTTCGAATAGGGCAGGAAAAACGTATGACTCGGAACAATGATGGGCTGTGCCGCCAGATGATTTCGAGAAAGCTTCGGGATTTAGGGGTGGGTACGGGAAAAAAAGAGAAAAAGCAAGGAGGAGATTAAGATAAAAACTCATGATCCTGCAGCAAACCCAGCAATCTCGAGGCTTGCATCGTGCTCTTTTGATCTTGGTGGGTCGGTTTAATGTTGAATGAACTATTAAGCTAAGCCAGATTGGACAGATTAGGAGCCGACTGCCGTTCGAAGAATGGAAGCAATTGGGGCTTCCATCGGTACGGTAAATAAGTGGGCTGCTCCAGTATTCGGTAGGCCTTTCCAGCAGCCCTGGGCTGGGATTTGGGCGCCTCAGCTGTCTACACCGTTGGATTTTAGTGGTGGAGAGGAGGGCTAGAATGACTAGAAACATTCCATTTCCATTCATCCGTTGAACATACTGTACTAGGTACCTTACCTCACTGATTGACTTCGATTGCCCGTCGATTACCTGGACATGGCAGAGTTCTCCAGCGAGTACAGTAACATTAATAAGACATCCACGAGCAAGTTCGGTTAGAAACGCGGTTCCCCATTGCACAAGCACAGAACGTATGTATTGCATTGGCAGAATTCTCCGAGTCGTGCTAGTCCCATCACTGAGCAACGTAACGGCGTAGCACTGCAGTAGTTACCTGCAAGATATCTAACGCCATCATATGTAGCCAACAATAGTAGGAGATCCAGAGAGAGACAGTCTGCCAGAATGTCGGCTGGAAGTACTGAAAACTACTCAACGTCAAAAGTACCTGAAGTCAGGTTCCAGGCAGGCTCCTAGAATCTTCGAGATACCTCACCCTATACGAACACAGAGATATTCAACGGGCTTGCATGCATCTTATAGCCTATGAAAGCCACTGCCTTCCCGATCCCTGGACAAGATCGACTATGACGAGCCTGGGAGATGATGTTCTCTGACGTTCCGCAGCCACACATGCCACTCGGACATACACAAACAAGGTCGCACAACCCGGCGGTTTTTGGCCGGGGTTGTGGATGTTCGTGAGAACAGGTTAACCTCCTCGACAGCGAGAAAAAAAAAAATTCCACACTTTGGGGAAATGGCGCAGTGACGAATAGCCAGACAAGACCCAGTCTGTTGCTCGCTAAGCTCACGACAAGACAGACACAATCGACTATTCAGCGGCGCAGCCGATGCAGTCCCAAGCGATTGGAAACAGCATCGTGAATGATATCTCTCCAGGGAGATGTTCACCAGCTAACTAGCAGGGAGACCCATGTCATCTGCCATCCTAGTGGTGCATGGAGGTAAATTCGCGTGTCCCCAAGGAAAAGGACCCTGGCGGAGGAGATTAAGCAATTCATCGACGTCAAGAAAAGGCCAGTGCTTAAAACGTCCCTTCTAGACTTCTGGAGAACTACGGCAATGCCCATATTGTTCTAGGTTCTTCTGATATGCGACATTGGTCTTACCTTTACCACACTAATCGCACGAGCCCGTGCAGATCATGATTCCGTCAGGGTCTTTGTGATTGCAAGGTCACATCTGAGGGTCACAGCCAAGGTGATGGAGAAACAAGGCTCATCACCAGGCAAATGAAGCATCAAAACGAGCTTTGACATGCGTCGACGCCCAAAGCTTCACAGAACAGTAAGGACATGCGCGCCTTTCCTCTTTTGTATGCTTTTCTGGAAGGACAGTGGGAATGGGTCAGCGGAGATTACATGAGAATGCACGATGGACCGCCAGGATGATGCTGGGGGTGATAATGGATCGGGCAACCAGGATACGACGATATGATGTACAGTGATGCACAACACACTTATACCGTATAGCGCTAGTATCTCTTAAGCATGTCTTCCACAACAGTTGTTTGAGGGGCAAGTTGGTGAAGCCGTCTTCTGCTTGACCCGAGGTTTCATAATCTGAGGCAAGTGCCTTTCATTTGAAAGCTTGACGAATGCCATCTGATACCAGATCGTTCGGCAGCGGAAAAGAACTGAAGTAGGTATTACACGATAGACTTGTTTTGACTTGATATGGCATGACCTGGCATTTGTTGGCATTTATTGGCACTTGAAAGCATGGGACATGCTATTACTGAGGTTACATCCCATCTTTCGTCAAATTTGTCGACGAAAAGCCATCTACGATTAACCATCGGCTGAAACATGACTGGCTGTCGTTGCGCGATACGTATTGGATGGTTTAATGGAAACATCTTACACTACGTTAGTACTGATGAAGTGCAAGCAGGGCATCTACGTAGATTCATCTCATATTGGCTTATCAGGAGAGGGGAGTGGCGACATGCCCACCACACGTTCATCATGGCGGCGCACTAATCGAGGGCGTGTCTGATCTCGAGAGATTAGGTCCGCGGGCCATCTCTGCTCTGCTGGCACCACGAATGGGTAATGTAATGTGTATCCGCCAGAGCGGCGCCCAGTCGACAACTTCGCGTGGTGGCGGATGGACCATCCCTGCGGAGCCGCGGGGGCCATTCGGATTGGGGTTTTCCCACAAGGGACTACCTGCGAGGTACACGTGCTGTGCTCAGATCAAGGGCAGTCTCGTAGCTCGACAAAGTTTCTTCCATGTAAGGTCGACAGGCTCCATTTGAGACCTCCTGCTCCTTAGCCAGGTTGGCATAAGATGCTGGCGGCCTGGTCCTTGCCCACTGACGTACCTGGCTGCGGTACCGCCCATACAATGGGGCCCCCAATCTGAGTATGGGAAGCGGCCCATCTCGCTCATCTCATCGCTCATTGCCCAACATTCACCAGTTCGTCATTGCTCTAGGGACTTGGTGAAGCGGCTTGACACCAATACTTTTGATCTGTCCTCGTTGCCGAAATCACCATCACCATCGTTACTCATCCCATCGTTCCTGGATGCCCGAGGCGGTTTGCAGTATCACCCAGCTTGCCCGTCGGTCATCAGCGTCATCGACACCTTGAGCCTTGGGTTTTCTTGTTCCACCTCCCGTATGTCAATCTCGCGCATCTTCCATCTGAGCCGTCATATGTAATGTTTCTCGCTCTTTTGCCCCCTATTTTCCTCAATTTAGCGCTGCACTCCTAGCTCCCACGCCCTTAGCGCATTGCGGCAGGGGATGGGGGATAATGCAACTGTATAATACAGTTGGCAGGGGACCTGTGCTGAATCGAAATGTGATGTGTCGGTGGGAGACAAGTTTCCAGCTCAGTGAGGGAATGCTAATATTCAACAATGACACTGCAAACCACTCTAACATGGCTTCGCAACCGGGATCCTTCTTCCACGATGTGCCCATCTTCCTATCAGAGAAATAGCAGTGCCAGGACATGAATTCATACCAGTGACTCGCTCACTGACTTGCGCTCATATTGATGCATCACTACACGACACTGAAAAAAGATCCGAACAAAGATGGCTCGTGCTCTTGTGGGAGCTTCATAAAAAAAATCATGAGTACCCATTTGAGTGGCATTGAGTGGTGTGGTCCGGGGGTGTCTCTTTGTGTTGTTTGTGGACTACTAAAACCAGACCGCTGCTGACCCCAGGAGCAAGGCCCCCCGGAAGTCGTACCATTTTGCAGAACTTGAGATTGGAGATCTCCAAAGGCTAGACGCTACTGCACCGGGCTATCGTCATGCCCCAGCCATTGGTGCAAAACCTGACAAGGTCAGTATTCGAATCGACGGCAATGATGAAGAGTACACCAATGGCTCGCCTTTTTCCCGGCTCTCACCTTTGGCTTCAGAAGCCTCAGCGACAGCGGCGCAGTGATGGTTGGTGAATATCATGTCCTAAAGGATGCATACCGATGACGAACATGGCATATGAAGAGATGCGAGTTCCCCGAGATCTTGCTATAGATGAGATACCACAGCCAGCCCTAGGGCAACATGGCCTTCTCAACCTTTTCCCTTGTCTGCTTCATCGGTCACTGATCCTTGTTTGTTCTCACAAGCCCCACACATCCATGATCGATTCTCTTCGGATCCCTACCGTCCCCTCTCCCCACCCATACCATATCGTAAACCGTCATGCCATCGTGTCCCCTAGCCAGTGGAAGCGAACTTGAAATCCCTGTCGCGTGGGAGGTACCTCTACCCGCGACCGTTTCCCCCAGGCATCACAACCTAACGCCGCATCATGAACGCTTGTTGAGGCGCGCTTGCTGATCGACTTGTTTGTGACGCTCGATGTCTTGTTCGGGTCATGGTTCCAGGGATAACATTGCCATTCCAATGCTGATACGATATACCCAGATGGCTGCTCATAACGATAGTTATAGGCCAAGGAGGACATCGCTGATTTGGTGAGGAGCATTGCTGTATTTGATCGGGCGATCTGGATAAGGATCTCTGACAAATAACCGCGCCGCAGGTCCCTGGTACTGTACCGGTCGATCCATGCACTGAGGTAAACTGACAGACTCGAAAGCTCCCCCTGTTGGAGGTTGGTACACTATGTATTGTATTGGATGTTGCAGCAGAAATGGTTGTTGCGCTCCCCAATATACGCGTGCTTTGAAATATGGGTGCATCGATGCCCCAATTGATCTGTCTGTCTTCCCAGGGCAAGGCGTGAGCTGGCTCCCATGTTCATAGTTATGCTTGCTTGCTTGCTTGCTTCCGCGTGCAGGACTTGGATTAGGTTGTTGCTTGTTTCTCGCAGGCCACCTATTTTCGGTGATAAATAGATGACAATGGAGGTGCCGATCTCACATCTGATCCCCTCGTAGTGCACTGTTGGTGATTCCCAGGAGGTTGTACTGCTTGGGCTTGGGGCCTTCTAACTATACCTTGCGTTCCCTCGAGGCTGTACGCAGTCTTCTTTCCTTCCTTCCTCTTTCCTCCTCCGTTATTACCCTTTGTGTTTCAACATCTCCCTCCTCCCCAACCTTTTCCTACCTCCACATTCCCGCAGCAAGAAATAGATAACTGACTCTTCTCTTCTAAACCTCGATCTTCGATCCTCCCTCTCTCTACTTTCGACTATTATCCACATCGTTTTGTACTGTACCGTGCCTTTCTGTGTCCCCGCGCTGACTCAAGCGCCTGCAGACACCACCACCGTCCGCAGCAGCAGGATTTGTCCTTGCCCGCCATTCTAGTGGCTCAGCGCTGCCCGGCTCCGTGTCTGTGTACACTTTGTACCTTCTTTTGCGAGTCAACCCATCCCTGCCTAGTTGCTTGAACAGGAGACAGACTACAGAGTAGAGGGGAGACGGAAGAAAAACAGAGGCAAACCTACAATTCGAAATATCATCAAGACAAAAAACAACAACAAAACATTGAGAGATACGACCACGAACGCTACGGCATCTGCATCAACTGTGATCAAATCGCAAACTTCAGTACTGGATCTGATCAACTATTCTGACGCATTCCAATACCCGACTTCGATCTATCTCACGCCGCGCGCCAGCCGTTGTTCAACGTCGTGTCGAGCCATTAACTCCAAAGTCCCATCGATTGAGCATTTCCGCAGTTAAGTTGCGAGCTTCGACCTCGCCGTCAACGGGTGCAATCCAGTGCGTGGTTTCTTAACTCCACCCGTCCATTCTCTCTACTCATTCTGAGCGCTACGTTCCCAGACCCCGGCCATTGGATCAGTCTCACGGCAATCGACCTCCTGTTGAGTTTGCGCTACTCTGGATTCTCGCCTTGTCCCTGCGGAGGAGCATCATCAGCAGCAGCAGCAGCATCATCAATAGATCAAGCTCGTTCCCACTTCTGAGGAATCCTGAGTTTGGCGCAGCCAGCCTTTGAACGACCAAGCCAACTCCAGCAAGCCCCTGTCGGTCGGCCAGAACAAACCCAATCCGAACCTCTATGTAGACGGAACCCCCCTGCCACTGTCCCGCTCAGCGCCACCACGAGGGCCCTTGTCGCTTGTCCATCGCACGCCAGATCTACCCACCCCCCTGGGCCTAGCCCGGTACCTATTATTTGTTTCTCTCTTCGCCTCTTTTCATTTCGCCTCATCGGCCCCCTCCCCGTTTTGACACCCCATTGCCAACCCTCACCTGAGTCCATTGTCACATCTCTTACCCTGGCCCCGTGTCGACCCCATTCCTGGCTTCTTCAGTTCTTTTACTACTGGAACCTCATTCTTTACCACCCCCCTCCCCGTTTATTCCTACTGCTGTTTTCCTTCACCCATCACGTACACCCCCAGCCGGATCTAGCCAGGTCAGATGCATCTACGGCCTTAAAACTGTCCCAAATCATCGTTAGTAATTACCAGATCCGCTATGGAAGCGGCTGACTCTGGAGCCAGGCAAAGGTCTGTTTGAATCCTGACTTGAAAGTATTCATATTTCTGTCTGCCCCTCCCATATTAACACTTTTCTTGCCTTTACAGCCGTCATTCTGCAACCAATTCAGAACACCAAATACACCACCCACCTCAACCCGATCAACCATACACCGAACATCGACATCACCATTCCTACTCGCGGGATATTTTGTTGGACAGGTCGTCGTATCGAGAACCTTCCGCCATGGCAACGGCAACCCTGATCACACCGTCCGCCCATTACCAACCTCAACCGCCTTTCTCCAGTTATTCACAACCGAGCTCTGGTGCTGCCAGCATTGCCAACATGATCTCTGAACCTCGAAAGCCAGCCGACGACCAGGAGCCGTCAAATCGCCAGTCGCTGCCTTCAATCTCAGAGGTCATCCAAGGCACTAAACCTGGGCCTTATCCTGTCGCACATGCGCCTGGTCTGCAGTCTGGTTCAAGTTTGCCGTCGCCCTTTGCACCAGCTCCTCGATCATTTCCAGAGGCCGATAAGCGCTCATCTCCTCAGCCTCTCCACCCGACCTCATCCTTTCCTCGACAAGATGGACCCGCGTTTGCGGACTCACCTCGTCCTCATTTCAGCAACCGACCATCGCTCCCTCCTGTGTCTGACCGTCGCCAGAGTCCTTCAGCCAAAGCTGATCTGCCTCCACACCACCACCACCCTGAGCAGAAGCTTCCTGAACCTCACCACCCACTCAATGGTGCATACGCTCATCCCCCTCCGCCCCCTCCAGCTCCTGTCGCATACCAGCCTGGCCAGCTACCTCCAGGTCAAATGCCTCTGCCTGCGTACCCAATCTCTCCTAGACATGGAATGCCACCACATATTCCTGGATCTTACGATCCTAGAGCGCCTCCTCATATGGAGGACTCTGATTATGCTGCTCGAGCTAGATACGAAGCTACAGTTGACAGACACTATGAAAGCTGGAACTATCAGGACTCATTGAGTCGAGTAAGTCACATGCGTTGTATATTTCGCTAAGAACAGAAAACACTAACTTTCGACAGATTGGCACGTCATCTCGTACGATCTTTAACTTTGCCGAAGCTTATAGCAGAATCGCACAAGAGCAGCACGGAGCTCATCCTATCCCGGCTCGACTGCCTACCGAACGGGAAGTTAGCGATATGCTCAGCAATATCGAACTTGTCAAGAGATCACTGGAACAAGTGCGTGACTTGGTGCAAACTTCGATTCAGAACGAACGAGCCCGAGAAGGGTCCAAGATGAAGGGACCCTACGAGGAAGAACACGACGTAAACATGTACGGCGATGGAATGAAACCGGCTTATGGTATTACAGAAGTTAAAAAGCGCCGAGGTGTAAGTTTCTGGCTCTGCTTGTTTTTTTTATTAATGTTTTTTTATAATAAACACGAGACTGACAATAAACAGCGTGCTGCTCCTCCAGGACGATGCCACAGCTGCAATCGAATCGACACCCCTGAATGGCGACGTGGACCCGATGGAGCCCGGACTCTCTGCAACGCCTGTGGGTTGCATTATGCCAAACTGGAGAGAAAACGCCAGCTCGAGGCGAGATCGATTCGTCCTAAAGATGAGGCTCATCGACAATGAGGCCTCTGCCTGAGAATATTGCTATATTACGATGGGGCCTATGGGCACTTGAAAGCATTGTGGGGAGGTGCTCGGTCGTCTCATGGATGACTTCAACTCGCAACCCGCATGTCTACACATTCACACTCGCCTCACACATACACGCATACGCACACATCTTCACGTTTAATAATACCCGAACCACGGAACGACGACTTTGCGTCGTTCTCTGTATATACGTTTTTATAACTGGGATACCTTGGGCTTTGAGCAGGGTCCCGTAGCATACCAGGCGTTTGTCTCATTATGGACACCAAGCATGATTTGACTTGGTGTAACTCTTGGATTCATGGGCGGAGGGGAGACGTTTGACTTTCTAGACAAAAGAGATTTCTTGGACCACGCGATAGTGGAGAAATTACTGGGATGGGTGGAGGGCAGCGGAGAGCAATCATCGCAACATCAGCAACGGAGGTGTTTGTTGAACTTGCTCCTATGTAGGAGACTATATTGAGAGGAAGCTATTGGTTTTACGGCATATATCCAAGCTGAAAGAAACTTGGCATGAAGAGGAGTAAATTGAAGGTAACAAGGAGATGTTTCTAGGTCTATCGCTGAAAGTATCGCCAACAAGGCCGGGGACTCTAGCAACAAGCAAGATGCCAATGGCGGAGAAAGAGAAGAATTATAAAGTGATTATGCCAAACTTGACTGTGCGTGCACGCATCCCTGTGACCGCCTGGAAGTGTGAATGTGAGCTTGAGTATTATTTTATGCAGCCCAATAGAAGCAGCGTAAACAGAGATGGAATTTTTTGCCACTTGGGCATCGAGACTATCGAAAGATTGGCGAAGCTTAATTAGCCATTTCTGGAGATGAGGGGCGATCATTTGCCTTGGTGGGTTAGGAGTATATCATGATATCTCGGCCTTGCATAGATCTACGGTGTCTTGTTTTAGTGTTTTAGAAGAAGTGGGTGCATTGCATGTACAACAAACAGGTAGACAAACAAACAAACCAGGTTGTTAGTAGGAGCTGGATTGAGCATATGAAGCAAACTGTTCCTTTACCCCCTTTGACGATCATTCATTTCCCGTCAAGGACTACAAGCCGGGAATAGCGGATGCCAGCTCATCTGTACGGGATGTGACTTTTAAAACAGAAGCCAACCAGGCAATGCAGGCCAAGGCATTTGAAGCATGAGTGAGTGAGTGGTCCAACAGGCCGAGTTACACAGACAATAGGGGGTAGGACATGGGAGACGAGGACGGGACGGGAGGCTAATCAAGGCACGAGCGGGAGATCTGACGAACGGGTAGCTTGCTTGAACTCATCGGACACGGGAACGTGCGTGCATGTACATGTGCTTCGGAGTTGTTGGTGATGGTGTTGAAGATGTGAGTTTCTGGATAGGCTACGTAGTACAAGACAATATAATACAAGACAGGACAAGACAAGTTGAAGGTGTCGAGAGGGTAGTTGTCATTATAAAACATTATGAGATCTTCAGTCGTGTACCTGTGAGTGTTATTTATTCGTCTGATATAAATATAGTATTGGGTATTAACTATCTTAGGCTATCCATCAGGTACTTACATGGACCATGACAAACTCAAGCGCTGTATCAGTAATATCAGATACGTTATCATGTACAACAAAACATCAAAAGATCAGTCTGCGATTGTGAAGTCATCCCCAGACCAGACATACATAAACATGTCTTGATGCCTGAACTACCCAAACCCAAACAAACCCACCAGACGGACATGCAATGCAAGAGAGGATTGCACAAGACCTCGTATGCGCTGTTTCTTGTGGTGCTTGATCAGAAACATGGCTGCAAGCACGCGATCTGCACGTCTTTCCAAGATCTTCCCTGGTCCTCCCTATTTATGTGGTGGTTTTACTGTAGGACAGGAGCACAGGAAGGAATATATAACATACAGTCTCTGTGTGGGAGAGGGAACATAGAGGGAGAGAGGTAGGATGTGGATGAGAAACTCCCCCTTGCTCTCCTGTATCACAGTGACTGTGACAGACACGGTGACGGTGACACGGGCGAGAACAAGATAAAAGGGCTCACCTCCTGTGCCGCGTGTCTGCAAGTGCTTGGCTGGATTCTCTGCTGTCGCGTTACATGGCCATTACATGTACGGAGGCTATCATGTAAGTATCCATGTGGCTTTTCCATAGAGGATCTAGGAGTTGGTCTATAGATTATCGTCCTTCTGCGAGGCTCTGGCGGGTGGCATGCCAAACCATGTGTGTTGTGCATTACCGTGAGACCTACAGTAATACGCCTCTTTACTAAGCAAGTTGTCTAAACTGCAATCTACTGTACTGTACTGTACTGTACATATAATGGAGTGACTTGACGTTCAGCTAGACCTGTTATACACAGCACACTCTGGTGATTCGGGTATGGAAGGCCTCAGACATGACGCCACGGAAGAGGTAAAGATCCAAGACAAAGACAACGGACCGATAGACGCCGAAAGACCTCCACCACCACGTTCAAGATACTAGGACATACTTGGAAGGAGAACTGCGCGTGTTTGTTAGACTACTCTTGAGTTGGACTGTTGTTGAGTTGAGTTATTTATGTATTTATGAAAACAAACTCTACAAGATATCGCCTCAACCCTATTTCGTCGTCATTCTTGGCTCATGCTTGTCGTTCTACAACCACCGACATTCCAGAGAGACAAAGCCATGTTACAGGACGGGAATAGGGTCACCGCAGCCACGTGGAATTTCCACCCGAGGGGAGAGAAGCAAGGGTCCTTTTTGAGGTCTCCAGGTCTAGTTCTCGGTCTTGTCTTTGCCTCCCTCAGCCCAAACATATCCTTCACCCGGGGGTCTTTGGGATGAGATTGTGTATGGAGTCGGTACAGATATGTCACCAGCATGGTAAGCACGAGGAGTTGAATCATGGACTTCGAGTAGACATATGCAAGGGAGAAGAAGATACGCCCGCCTAGGTAATGGAGCTAGACGAGGAGTTGGGGGAGTTCAAGACAACAAAGTTGGCTAAGCTACTTAGGAATGTGACAAGCTAAACGGCCTCGTGGATTTTGCATCAAGGGCGTTTTCGTTTTTCGGTGACAGATATCGGTTATTAGTCAGTTAGTTGCCTGCTTGATGCGATGATGTGAGGGTTTGATCCCTTGCATTTTGACGTTGCATGGAGGTGGATTAAGGGTCTGATCTAGCAGTTGATGTAGTATGCTAAAAAGGAGAATGAAATAAACAAGGGAATCTCGTTTTGTTTTGTTTTGTTTCATTTCGGAGAATGAGCCTGATCTAACGTAGAGTCTCCATTGATGACTCTACAATATGTGAACAATTGGTATCAAAAAAACACAACTGCCGAGATATTCAACACGACGGCGTCACTTTATTTTTTATTTATTTACTTTTCATAACCCAGAAACCCGTTTCTTCAAGACAACAGTTGAGTTGAGTTGAGTTGAGTTCAGTTATGCATACGCACGCACACACACGGCCGAGTCTAGGCCGAAGCCGTCACAACGGTGAAAAGCCACCAACTGGGGACATGACTCTCCAGCTTTGAAGTACAGTAGGTAGGTACCTGATCGAGATGAACATTAGTAGAGTCTTTACCGTTGCTACTGCCAAGATCTGCAACTAACCAAATACCTCGCCAAAGCTATACGGCCTTCTAGATCGGGCAAAACCCCGTGGCTCACTCACTTGGACCTGGACCGACCGTTGACTTGACTCTTCCGCTATGGATGAAGTTAGTGGTACGACTGGTCAATTTTTTGATCCGGCCAAAACAAGACCTGTTTGGAGATCGAGCCTTCAATGTCTGAGAGCTACGCTACGCGACGACGCGACGCAACGCAGCGCCTAGTTTGGAATGGCGGCGTGCTTCGGCAATTTTAAGTGCAGAACCTAGCTTCAGCAGGGCGTGTAGACTTGATAGAGCTAATGGCTTACGAGGTAGGTCTTGGTTGTGAGACATGATAATCTATCGTCATTGGCTAGTATATCTCCTCGTCTACCTGAGAAGGATTCATATTGGTTATCGTTGCATTGAAAACATGTCATATCATAAGGGTAAGATTCAATGTCTCGTATACTGCTACTGCTGATCCATACGATATGCAAGTATAGCACCGATTCCTTGCATCTCGTTAGCTTCAATTCTGCCGCAACGTCACTAAATTCAGCCCCATGCGGAACAGATACCGTACAAGCCAATACAATATATTCCCTGCTGTAGATTCTGTTGGTCACCGTTTATACTAACATCTAGTTGCATCACTAGTTTCGAGACAGGGATGCGAGGAAAAGATCTGCATTTCTTTTTGTCTTTGCGAGGCATCCTAGTCTGGGTATCTAATCAATCACTTGTCTTTTGTCCTTTATCCCTAGTAAAGTCAGAAATGACTTGTGTAGAGGTTGTTGACTGCTAGGGTGAGAATGGACGAGTCAGTCGATACATGGTCAAGATGTCTATCATGGAAATTCATGCCAAACATACTTGCAAATGTGACCAACGAGCTATGCGTGTTTCTTCCTTTATTGTCATGCCGTCTTTCTTGGCCCGTCTTGCCTTGACTGATCAGGCCTGACACTGTCAGTTTGTCTGACCCTCCGGCCTCCGGATCCGGACCCGGCGCGGGATCTCAACTCAACCCGCCTCGGCCCCGATATCAGCTTCGTTCGGATCGGCATCGGGTTCGGATTCGGGTATCTCACTCTTCGGGTGTATCTTTATCTTTCGTCTCTCTTCTTTGTCTCCCTCTCTCTCTCTCTCTATTTGCTGTCTGCCCTAGTCTAGCGCTCACATGATCATATCGCCGTTCGAAAATCTCATTTCTCCGAGACACATTCGTTCCCTCTGCTTAGTAGATCTTTTCCCGCTGTGGCTACATCCCTTTTCAATATGCCGCATTCTCGCATGCCGCGTGCCTCTAGCTAGCTCACAGATCATCGTAGATAATACCCCCCACCTCACTAGACTATGGGCCAGAACGGAAACAGCAAAGATATCATAAGTTACAGAACCTTACGGCTTAGGAATAAACTCGTTGATAATGATAACTCAATTCTACCGTTCGCTCTCAGCTGTAGGGAAGCCTCACCGGTGTCTTGACTCTCCAAATGCGGCGACCGGTCAAGAAGCCTGTTTGATATCTCTCATGATATCTCCTCAAAACATCAAAGTCGTGACTACACGCCAAATGCCACGCCAAGCTACCCCAGTGTGGCTTTTGTTTGCCCAGAGAACAGGTTTCATGGATCTTTACGAGAATTCCAGACAAAAAGGGGTTCCCCTG